TAAAAAGCGCTGCTAAAGGGGCACCCTAAGAAAGCGCTTTTAAAAAGCGCTTTTAAAGCGTTGCTAAAGGCCTTTAAAAAGCGCTGCTACAGGTATTCATATCACTACTAGAAAATTTCATTTTAGCTGCGAATTTAGCCTCGGCCACCGACACCGAGGCTAACTAGCCTCGACAAAACCGAGGCTACTCAAACGCAAAAAAAGACATTTTAAAGTTTTTCTTTTACAATTATTTTTATTTAATTATTTAGACACGGCTAGGCCGAGGCTAAATTTTTTTAAAGTATTGGACACAGTCTCACCGAGGCTATTTAAACTCAATAAACCCCATTTAAGAGTTTTTCTATTTTTTAAATATTAGACACGGACCAGCCGAGGCTAACATTTTAAATATTTTTCAAATATATATTTATTTTATCCGGTAGACACGGATGAGCCGAGGCTAAAGTTTTTAATATTTTTCGAATATATATTTACTTTATCTAGTAGACACAGATCAACCGAGGCTAACGTATTTTATTTTTTTATTTTATCTGGTAGACACGGATGAGCCGAGGCTAAGTATTTCCCACATTGTTTTTCATGTTCCCCTCTTAATTCCTTTCAGAATGAAAACCCTAAAATTAAACCTTCTGAAGAAAAAAAACCCCTAAAATCAAATTCACATGTTATCACTACGCCAGAAATTACTTTTAGCAGCGCATAGAAAGACAACGCTTTTTACAAAAGCGCTGCTAAAGGGTCAGTAAAAAAAAAGAAAAAAAGCGCTGCTAAAGGGAAAGCCTAAGAAAGCGCTTTTTAAAAAGCGCTGCTAAAGGGGGGGAGGGGGATGGGGAATAGGCAGCGCTTTATAAAAGCGCTGCTAAAGGGGGACCCTTAGAAAGCGCTTTTAAAAAGCGCTGCTAAAGGGGCACCCTAAGAAAGCGCTTTTAAAAAGCGCTGCTAAAGGGGGACCCTTAGAAAGCGCTTTTAAAGCGTTGCTAAAGGCCTTTAAAAAGCGCTGCTATAGGTATTCATATCACTACTAGAAAACTTCATTTTAGCTGCGAATTTAGCCTCGGCCACCGACACCGAGGCTAACTAGCCTCGACAAAACTGAGGCTACTCAAACGCAAAAAAAGACATTTTAAAGTTTTTCTTTTACAATTATTTTTATTTAATTATTTAGACACGGATAGGCCGAGGCTAAATTTTTTTAAAGTATTAGACACAGTCTCACCGAGGCTATTTAAACTCAATAAACCCCATTTAAGAGTTTTTCTATTTTTTAAATATTAGACACGGACCAGCCGAGGCTAACATTTTAAATATTTTTCAAATATATATTTATTTTATCCGGTAGACACGGATGAGCCGAGGCTAAAGTTTTTAATATTTTTCGAATATATATTTACTTTATCTGGTAGACACGGATCAGCCGAGGCTAACGTTTTTTATTTTTTTATTTTATCTGGTAGACACGGATGAGCCGAGGCTAAGTATTTCCCACATTGTTTTTCATGTTTCCCTCTTAATTCCTTTCAGAATGAAAACCCTAAAATTAAACCTTCTGAAGAAAAAAAAACCCCTAAAATCAAACAAAATCGATTCTTCTGATCTTTTCTTCAAAATCAATTCTTCTGATCTTCTCTTCAAAATCATCTCTTCATTCAAGATCATCTCTTCGTTCTCCAACTAGGTGAGTTTCCTGCTCAAAGTCAACTTCAAACTACAAAAGCAGACATAAACACTGATTCTTCTTCTCTGATTCTTCTTTTCAATGTAGTGAGTTTCCTGCTTTTGGAGTTTCACTGCTTCGTTCTAAATTAGGTGAGTTTCACTGATTCTGTTCAGATTTTACTCATGAGTTTGTTAACTTTCAAAACATTCTGCAATGTGTTCTTCACATGGTTTGTGTTTGTTTTGAGTATAAAAGGCGGAGAAGGTTCCAACATTCATCTTCTTCCATAGTTGTAGCAGGTTCTGATAGGGTTGGTGCTAGCAGTGGGAATTTGAGTTCAGGTTCTAGTTCTGTTTCTGGTTCAAGTTATGTTTCATTGGCGCAATTTGATGAAGAGGATACAAGGTAAATTTCTACACCATTTTTTCAATTCAGTGTGGTGAATAATGATATGTTATCTTGCTCTTTGAATCCTTGTGTCGAAGAATGAAGCATATTTTGTGGGGACTGTTTGGTGAAGTTTGAAACTCTATGATGAATATTAAAAATTTAATGAGTTTGTTGCCATGTTAATTGTATTTATGAATGTTAGTACTAGTATTATATTAAGCCTATGCATTGTAAGATGCGCGAGATTGCAGAATCATTTTTGGAATTGTCTGTCAATAACGCGGTTATTACTGTGTTAGCTTATTTCAATGATTCTCAACGGAAAACCACCATGGATACTGGTGCCATTGCGGGACTTAATGTTATGAGGATAATCAATGAGCCAACTGCTGCAGCTATTGCTTATAGACTCGACGAAAGAACTAAACGTGTTGGAGAACGAAATGTTATCTAAATCAAATTAAATTACGACGGTTACAACACTAGATGGGCCTTGTTCTTACTCAATCATATCTTCCCTCTCGTATGTTATCTAAATCAAATTACTCACTTGCCTTTTCCGATTGGACGGTTATTGATTTTGGCTTCATTTTTAGGGGTCGAGTAAACCGCTGGTTGCTACCACAATTTTCTTCAGTGCTAATGATGCGGCTATAGCCGGAAGAACCAGTGACAGACAACATGTACCTCTTCCAGAATTCAAACAAAACCTCCAAAAAATTGTCAACCACTTGAAGGTTTTATTTTCTAGATTCCGTCTATGTTCAATTTTGTACATTCCGCCTATTGTTACTGTATATTGCTATCAAGGATAACAGGGTTTAAGTCGCGGCCAACATTTTTGTGTAATTAGTTAAATGGTTTAGATTTCTGATGATTTTCTAAGGTGCATTAGCACAGTTGGGTGCTGCACTGGATTAAGGAATAGCTGTTGTGTTGATAAAAGAGATTGATTTGTAGATTTTTTGTGTTTATTGATGTAACGAAGAGGGTGAACTGTTATATAGAGGATTGAGGCTAACTGATTCAGGTAGGATTTTGGTCAGGTTTGTTACAAGTTAGGGCAAGGTTAGATGGTTAGTTTATTGCAGAGGAAATTAGTTAGAACTTTTAACACTGTCAGCATTCTGTTAGTTACAATTAGGAGTTAGAATGCTAGTGATTTAGAAGATTAATGAAATGTTAGTTTATGGCATTTACAAACAGAAAAATCAATTAGTTGTTCTTCTACTATTATGTTAGTAAGTGAAGAAGTTGAAACTATGTTGAAATTTGATTGTTAGCATTTGGGACTTGTTATCACTGGATTGTTAAAGCGAACATGCTGTTAATGGATTGTTATAGATTGAACTAAAATTGAGCTACTAAATATGTGTGTTAAAGGCACTGTTAGTGATAAAATGAATTGCTGTTATGCTATGGGCCTATGGCATCCAAGTTATGTTGGAATGGAAGAGGCTAAGTACAGTAGGTTAGTTGTTAGAGAGGTGTTGATTAATAATGCGTTGATGTTAGTTGCTAAAAACGCAGGCTGTTAGCATTTGAACTTTAATGTTTTAGAACGGAAAATATTAGTCGACATTGGATTAATGGTGGGGTTCGAACGAATGAATTCCTACCGCGATGCTGAGATCTTGCTGTAAGATTTGTTAGAAATTGTTAGTGAATCCGTTGCCATATTGGAATTAGTTATGATTTGAGTTAGTGAATTAAATTAAAACTGTCAATCTTTAAGATTTGTTAGAAATTGTTAGTGAATCCGTTGCCATATTGGAATCCGTTGTCAATCTTAAAACTGTCATTAAGTTCATGATTAAATTAAAAAAGCTTACATTATATTGATCATGTTTACCATTCTTCAAAATATTTTATTGCTAACTTCCTATTTTTCTAATATTCAAAGTTTATGAAATGAGATGCAACAGAGACACATAAATTGGTGATCATGATTCATGAAGATCTAAGAATTAGATTGGTGTATTTTTCATTCACACGGTGATAACTTTATTCTAGTGCCATTCCTATCTCTTCAACGGAGATATGTGCAGAAGTATTGCAGCCATATTTTTATCCATTAGAATAGTATACACATGCATGTAAATGAATTACATTATTGAAGCAAGAAAGCCAACCAAACTCAAATTTTAAGAGTGTGTACTATAAGTTTCTGGTTATCTTTTGGTAAAAAGAACAATGAATGAAAGAAAGAGGAGTAAAATAAAATATCTGCAAATTAGTACACCCACATGAAAGTCATTTGAATGCATATCCTAGTTGTCAATCTCAAAACTTGCATTAGGTTCAGGATTAAATAAAAACTGTGGACATGTTTTCAAGTTTTATAAACTAAATAATAGTGATAAATAAGTTAGTTGTGTTTCATATACTGAGGACCAGAGAATAAGTATTGAAATCAGATGCTAATTAACATGCAGGCTATGATGACTGAATTGCTTGAACAAGTATGGCCTTATGGGACTTTATTTGCAGGCTATTGGTAACTTATTAGAATTGGTCATGGAAGTTAGTTAGGATGTTATTGCTAATGGTTGTGTTGAAATTTGATGCATAAGCTGTTATATTGAAACCTACTTAAACCACTTATGGAATGTGTTTAGCTTATTGATGCTTTGGTATATGTTAGCTTATTAATGTGTAAATTCATGAATGTTATTAATTCTGTTAGCTTATTGAAACCTACTTAAACCACTTATGGAATGTTATTAAACCTACTTAAACCACTTTTGGCTTTTTGCAGGATATGCACTTAGTTCTGTTGAAGGGCGGGTTGCAATGGAATTATTTGACCTCTCTGGAGCTAGCCAGGCAAAGAAGTATTGATTTTTAGCTTTATGCTTTATCATTTTTACCACTTCAAACTGTTTTTTTTTACTCCATCTATATTGTCCTTATAATACCTCATTTGCTTCTAAACTATACAAATATGCATTTAAGTGTCACAGAAAATCTGAAGCTGGAAGGGATATTGTCTATCCTGTAAATGCCATGGCATTCCACCCCATGTAAGTGTTTTCAATTTACCGGTAGCAGTGATTTTCGGCAACCCAAATAGAAAATCTATGTTTCTGAGTATAAGTAAATCTGCATCAATGAATATTATCTTGTCATAATCTGTCAACTGCCATAACCTGAATTTGCTGTAGTTCCATTCATTGTAAGCATCTTTTTCAGCTTTTGGATTTCTGATTCTCTGTATTGTTCTGACCTTCCATCCTGCTGCTTCCAACCCACTTCTGTGATATCCACTGATTGTCTTGTCAACAAGTATTACAAGGTCTCTAGTCGATCCTGACAGCCGGATACTTTGAGCTGCAACTATGGCTCCACAAACATAAACATGAGCTGAATGCAAAATCGTCACATATGCTTCTCTTGGAGCATTTCCATTGTAAGCCAGTTCTGCATTTCAATTCATTCTTTTTCAGTTTCATGACAAAAAATATATGACAAAAACATGATAGCACAGTAGTACATGTAAGTGCATATTCACATTGACAAAAACATGATATTATGTCTCAAGAATGTGCAAGATGGAAAGTTACCTCTGCCTCTCATAGGAAGTGCAAGCTCACATGAACCAACTGGAAGATGAACCTTTTCTCTCAAAATACTCAAGTTTGGTCTGTATAGCCATACATTTCCTTGACGTCCAACTAGCTCTTTGCAGGTAAACAGATTTGGTATCGGAAAACAGTCGGTAATGAAGAGCACATAAATAGGGTAATTGCCTTTGAAAGAGGTAGCAAGGCCAGCAGCTGCAAGCTGCAAGTGCAAACGAGCCACGTCTCTAGACCAATTTCCTCCATTCCTACAAGGCAGTTTGACAACAATGACATTTAGTCTCATCCCGGGAGGTACAAGACTTGGTAGAGAAGGGAAAACGGGAACTTCAGTTTCTTCTTCTTCGTCAATCCATTCTGGATATAGAGACTCCCATGTCACATTGTTTGCAGCATGCTCCAGATGCAGGACAACATGCGTGGCATCTTGAAAATTATGCTTCCAGTGAGAAATCTCAGTCTTGTTGAAATTTACAAGTCCAATGCCTTGAAATTCATTTTTTCCCGTCAGTTTTTCTGTGATTTTCACTATATCATCCCAATCAGTTGGCATCTTGGAAATTATGCTTCCAGTTGTTGATGATTCTTGAAATGCTTGGTGTTAGAGCTTGTTGGAAGCAAGCTCTATCTGTGTTTCAATGGGTGTACGATTGTAAGGATCGTAGAAAGTTTCAAAGCAGGTGTTTTTTCCCTTCTGAAAGCCACCAAATATTATGCATGATTTTATTATTCACATTTTTTGTTATTGTTTTACCTGCTTAGTGCTTTGCATATTCGGTTCTCTCTCCCGATGAAACTAATTATGATTTTGTAGGTTTGTGTACACAAAACTTCTTGCAGTTCTTGGGAAGGCAAGAAGGCCACAGGAAGCTCTTCAAATTTTCAATTTGATGCGCGTAAGAATCAAGTGCTTAGTTTGTTTTTGTTTTCATCTAAAGACTCGTATTTAATTGTTGTTGTACGCCGCTGTATTGATTTACTCTCAACTTGTCCAGGGAAACATTCATGTATATCCTGATATGGCTGCATATCACAGCATTGCTGTCACACTTGGTCAAGGTGGTCTTTTAAAAGAGTTGTTGAATATCATGGAATGAATGAGGCAGAAACCCGAAACATTTAAATATATGTATCGCAAGAACTGGGATCCAAGTATTGAACCTGATTTGGTTATATATAATGCTGTAAGAAAGCAATTTTATATAACTCTCTTTAGAATAACATTTTGCAGATTGATTAAATCTTTGGGTTTCTTTAATTACTGTTAGATACTTAATGCTTGTGTTCCATCAAAGGATCAGAATGGAATAGGTCAAGTTGTGCTTCGGACTCCACAAGGCGCTTCAGAGTTTGATTGCTAAATGTTTGTGCAATTTGACTTTAGCCTCGATTAGACCAAAGCTAAATATTTTGTTGACTTATAAAGTTTGAACTTAGTCTCGAAAAAGTCGAGGCAAAATGTTCCTTTAGCCTCGACCAGGACCAAGGCTAAATAACATGTGAGCTTATGGAGTTTGACTTTAGCCTCGGTCAGGCCCAGGCTATTTTTTGTTTTTTGACACGGCTTCACCGAGGCTAAAGTAGACATGGCTAAACCGAGGCTAAATTAGACACGGCTAGACCGAGGCTACATTTAGCCACGGCTCTTCTTGCCGAGGCTAAAAGTTAGCTTCGATCGTTTTAGCCTATCCCCGACACCGACGCTACGCCGAGGCTAATTGGCTAGTAGCGGCGGTTTTTTGCCTTATAGCCTCGGAAAGTGGCCGAGGCTAAATACAACATTTCTAGTAGTGTATTATAATTTTAAAATACCCTCCAGAATGTTAATAGAAACAGAACAGTCACATAGTTTCTTTTCTTCTTTCTCTAGCGAACGCACGAACGAACGAACACTGTTAACCTACGTTTCCGTCCGATCATCACCTTCTTCTATCCGTTCACCGACCATTCACCATCCGTTTTTGAGTGCATCCATCCGTCTGCATTGCATTTCCACCATTGTTACGGTATGTGAAGTTTTACTCTGCTTTTCTTGTTTTTTTTTATCTTTTCACCATTATTGGTATTTGAAGATATATATAGATGGTTTTTTTGTTCTGATGATATAGATGGTTTTATATAGATGATATTTGAAGATATATAGATGGTATTTGAAGATAGATGGTTTACTGTGTTATTGTCTCTTTGTGTTATTGAGATATAGATGGTTTAATATTATTGTTGTTGTTGTTGTTTTTATTGAAGGTTTAGTGTTATTGAGTTATTGAAGGTTTAGTGTTATTGTCTCTTTGTGTTATTGAGTTATTGTTTTTAGTGTTGTTTGCATTGAAGGTTTGATGACATGCAAGTAAATTTAATATTTGATATAGATATGATATTTGATATTTGATATTTGATATAGATAGAGGTGTAAAGTATGAGATATATATATGATATTTGATATTTGATATAGATGGTTTAATATGATATTTGGGTTATTGTTTTTGTTGTTGTTGTTGTTGATGTAAAATATGAGATATAGATATGATATTTGATATTTGATATTTGATATAGATGGTTTAATATGATATTTGATATAGATGGTTTTATATAGATATGATATTTGATATTTGAGTTATTTGAGTTATTATTTGAGTTATTTGATATAGATGGTTTGTTGTTGTTGTTGTTGATATAGATGGTTTGTTGTTGTTGTTGTTGTTGTTGTTGTTGTTATTCTGAATTACAGGTATATTATGGCCAGCAACGAGGAAACACCACATGATGGAAAACAAACAACAAAAGACGTGGAAGGCGAAATTAAAAGAGGCATAACGATAATGAAAAAAATCATCCGTGCGAGAGATAGAGGTGTAAAGTACGATGTCCATTGGAATGAAAGAGATCAGTTGGTTGAGCCTAACGGTGCGCTGCTGACAAGTTACATTGGAGCACTTGTACGTTCGCAAGTTCCGATTACTTGCGATAATTGGAGAATTCCTGCATTACAAGCGGCTAAGGATAAAATTTGGAGCGAGATTCAAATATGATATTTAATCATTTTTAATTATGTTGACAGTTACATCTTTAAATTAATTATACTAACATGTTATATGTATGTGTATTTGTTTGCAGAGATATTTTAATATTGAGGATTCTAGGAGAAAATATTGTATTCAGTTGGCTGGAAAACGCTTGAGGGGATTTAGAGCGTTTTTAACGAACAAGTTTCTTAAAGATTCTGATGGAAACTTTGTAGACTCGGAGCGTCCAATGAAGTACGCTGATTTGATTTCGGATGCAGAATGAGAGACATTTGTTGTGAAGCGAAGAACCAAAGAATTTGAAGTAAGTACAACTTATCATGAACAATGTATAGTATATATACCTCTTCCACAAGAGTTATGATATGACTTAAACTTGTTTTTTCAGGTTAAGAGTGGCGTAAATCGGCAACGGGCATCAAAACCTGCGTATCCATACAAAAAGGGGCGTTTGGGATATGCCCGCTTAGAACAAAAAATAGTAAGTACATATAAATGCTTTAATATGATATATTTACAAAAAATAGTAAGTATATATAATAGGATATAATGCTTTATTATTCGTCTTAATGCGTAGTTGGAAGAGGAGAAAAGTGATGTGACATCTCTTCCGGACCATGTTGTATGGAAGGCTGCCCGTGTGGGAAGAGATGGAGTCGTTCAGGAAGAAGTTCAACAAGTATTTGAACAATGTGTAAGTACAACATTAGCTTTGCCAGTAACTGATCAAAAGTGTATAATATATTTATATATGCTTTTATCTATATTTCAGGACACCCTATCCCAGACTATAACTCCAGCTGAAGATGATGATTGCAGGAGCTTACTGAGTCGGGTGTTGAATTTTCTTGAGTATTCTGGGCGTGTGAGGGGTAAGGGATTTGGTGTCACTCCATCCAAACTGTATAAGCAACCAAAGAAAAAAAATCCAACCAATAAAGAAGTGATGGCTACTTTGGAGGAAATGAAAGCTCAAATTCGTGAATTACAGAAGGTGGAAGACACAACAGTGGTGGAAGACGCAATAGGAGCGTATGTTGCATGGCCGGCAAATCTCATTTTCCTAGATGATGAGGTAGGTTGAACCTTATAATATTCAAATGTTTTATGACCATACATGACATATGTGATTTATGTGTGAATTCTATGATAACATGAAGGCAGCTGTTGGATTGATTTGAGACCCTTTTAAAAGCATAATTGTGTGGTGTATGTGTGATTAATTTGAGCTATTCTCATTTGATATGCTTTTTCACTCATAAGATGCTTTGTTTTATATCAAGAATGCCAAACATTGCAATTCTGCCATCATCTTTTGAAACAGCTTGTCCTATGCTTTAAAATGTGATCTAACTTATCCTATATCATGTACCTATGCTGTGTGTATGAATAATTTGGTCAGGAAAGGTTGGGAATCAAAACTGAGCATTATCATGCCATTTTCCAAATCACTTTTGCATTAAAAAGCCTTTTTTCATAACAGACATACCTAAGTGTTTCTTTGTGCCTGAACTCAGTCAATAGCACCTATGTAACTTGTATACATGATTCATTTGATAAGTATGTGCTCAGAGCTTGAATTTCACTTCTTCATGCATTGCATTTATGTCATTTACAACTTAAAACACCATTTTTCATGAAAGTTCCATTTTGATTTGTTTTGATGATTGAAATCACCCAATGCCATGTATATGTAATGTGTGTGTAATTGAATTGACCTGAAAACATGTTAAACTAAATTTGAACACCTTTCTGCACTTCACTTCACATGAAAAATAGCCTGAACCCTAAACTTCACAACTGTTTGCTTTGCATCAAAATCATGTTTTGAATTCACTTGTGTACATATTTGAAGCATGTTAGTATGTTTTAATGGAACTGAAACAGGATGCATCTCTAAATGAATACCTTCAGACTGTTTTGCCTAAAGTCATGGCCTGAACCTATTCCATATCATGTATGTGTGTGGTGTGCATGATTTAATTGACCAAAAAGTAATTGGAACTGAAACTGCTCATCATTGTGCATTTTGTTCACCATCTTGCAACTTGACATGCCATCTTTCATCACAGCCTAGTTTCATCTATAAACTTGATTTGAATTCACTCACTGTCACATATATAGTATGTTTGCATGATCATTTGAACTTAGAACTGGCTACACCATGACATACCCTTCAAAATGCATCTCTTAAGAAAACTTGCACTTCACATATCACTTTTCATTTCAGCATGATTTAAGCACTACTTTTAGCATGAATCCCTTCCTTATCATTGTTGTGATGTGTCTGCATGGTTGTTTGAAGTTGAAACTAACTGGAATATACCACACACTTCAAAATTCCCTTAACTTCAAAAACACACATAAAGCTTGATCATGAAGCACCATTAATCACAACAGTTAGTTTTAGGCTATAAGTTATGTTCAGTCTCATCTTGTAGTATATGCAATAGGTGTATGTAATTGAAATGACTTAAGGCTGTCTTGAACTAAATTTTCCCATAAGCATGCATCACACAAAGCACATGCC